AGCACAGTGGCTTATGCCTATTATAATGCTAGCACTCTGGGAAGCCAACGGGGTGGGTCCCCTGAGCTGAGGAGTTTGAAACCAGCTTGGGCAAGAGCGAGACCCCATCTCTACTTGAAAATAGCTGTGCACACTGTGGCAGGCACCTGCGGTAGTTTGAGATTGCTGTGAGCTGAGGCTACAGCACTCTACCCAAGGCAACAGAGTGAGACTCTGTCTCAAAAAAAAAGGTCACAAAGATGATTTAAAGGATTTTCAGTAATTATGACCCTACTTAACTTTGGGATTTGTGCCCATCCTGGAGTCTCAGCTTCCTATAGGAGTCCTTTAGCCATTATTCTTCCTGGATCAGATCACAACTCACTCACCTTAGCTGTGCACTCTGCTTCTAGCCTTTGTTTCCACATCTATCCTTCTTCCTCTAGGTGCTCAAAAGCCCAACTCCATTTCCACCAATCCAATATACTCACAAGGAACACCATCAAAGGCAAGTAAATTAAACACAAGCTCAACGGCAAAGGAAGAGGCTTAAGACTTCTTTGCAAACAATATGCTTGCATACTTAAAACCCTCTGAAAGAAACTAATGAAATTAATAACTTTCTTACGAGCCAGCACTGAAGTTGGAAAATACAATTTTAAAAAATACCTTGTTTTTTGCTGCAGTCCCTCCAGTCAAAGTTACTCAGTAGCAACAAGGATTGGAAGCTGGTGCTGGGCATGTCCTTGGGAAGCTCCTTCAGGGCCTTGGAAAGAGACCCAGGTTTGCGCCTCCCTCTGGGTTTAAAGCTCTGCGCTGATCTCCGACGACGGGGCTTTGCTGGAGACATGGAGAATTTCACAAAATCAGGTTCCCTGGGGCCTCTGGGAGCTTCCTTTCGTCTACTCAGAGATCTAAAATCCAAAGAGAAGCGAAGTGGTCCATGTCTCCTCAACCTTCAGCTACTTATAGTAGCCTCCCATCTCCCCACCCATCCCCACCCATGTGGTGTAAAGGCTGGATCTGGAATCCTTGCTTCATTTGCATAACTTAAAGGGTTACTGAAAGCCATGAAGTCTGAGAACAAAAGAACAGGCTAAGCTAAAGTAATATTGAGGCCAGGCAAGGTGGCTCGTGTCTGTAATCATAGCACTCTGGGAGGCCGA